ACACCAGGACTAAACCAGGACTAAACCAGGTCTAAACCAGGTCTAAACCAGGACTACACCAGGACTAAACCAGGACTAAACCAGGACTAAACCAGGTCTAAACCAGGACTACACCAGGACTAACTCAGGACTAAACCAGGACTACACCAGGACTAAACCAGGTCTAAACCAGGACTACACCAGGACTACACCAGGACTACACCAGGACTAAACCAGGACTAAACCAGGTCTAAACCAGGTCTAAACCAGGTCTAAACCAGGACTACACCAGGACTAAACCAGGACTACACCAGGACTAAACCAGGTCTAAACCAGGTCTAAACCAGGACTACACCAGGACTAACTCAGGACTAAACCAGGTCTAAACCAGGTCTAAACCAGGACTACACCAGGACTAACTCAGGACTAAACCAGGTCTAAACCAGGACTAAACCAGGTCTAAACCAGGACTACACCAGGACTAAACCAGGTCTAAACCAGGTCTAAACCAGGTCTAAACCAGGACTACACCAGGACTAACTCAGGACTAAACCAGGTCTAAACCAGGACTAAACCAGGTCTAAACCAGGACTACACCAGGACTAAACCAGGACTACACCAGGACTAAACCAGGACTAAACCAGGTCTAAACCAGGTCTAAACCAGATCTAAACCAGGACTACACCAGGACTAAACCAGGACTACACCAGGACTACACCAGGACTAAACCAGGACTAAACCAGGTCTAAACCAGGTCTAAACCAGGACTACACCAGGACTAAACTCAGGACTACACCAGGACTAAACCAGGTCTAAACCAGGTCTAAACCAGGACTACACCAGGACTAACTCAGGACTAAACCAGGTCTAAACCAGGACTAAACCAGGTCTAAACCAGGACTAAACCAGGACTAAACCAGGTCTAAACCAGGTCTAACCCAGGACTACACCAGGACTAACTCAGGACTAACCCAGGACTAAACCAGGTCTAAACCAGGTCTAACCCAGGACTACACCAGGACTAAACCAGGACTAAACCAGCTCTAAACCAGGTCTAAACCAGGACTACACCAGGACTAAATCAGGACTAAACCAGGACTAAACCAGGTCTAAACCAGGTCTAACCCAGGACTACACCAGGACTAAATCAGGACTAAACCAGGACTAAACCAGGTCTAAACCAGGTCTAACCCAGGACTACACCAGGACTAACTCAGGACTAAACCAGGTCTAAACCAGGACTAAACCAGGACTACACCAGGACTAAACCAGGTCTAAACCAGGTCTAAACCAGGTCTAAACCAGGACTAAACCAGGACTACACCAGGACTAAACCAGGTCTAAACCAGGTCTAAACCAGGTCTAAACCAGGACTACACCAGGACTGCACCAGGACTAAACCAGGACTAAACCAGGTCTAAACCAGGTCTAAACCAGGACTACACCAGGACTAAACCAGGACTACACCAGGACTAAACCAGGTCTAAACCAGGTCTAAACCAGGTCTAAACCAGGACTACACCAGGACTAAACCAGGACTAAACCAGGTCTAAACCAGGTCTAAACCAGGACTACACCAGGACTAAACCAGGACTAAACCAGGACTAAACCAGGTCTAAACCAGGTCTAAACCAGGACTACACCAGGACTAACTCAGGACTAAACCAGGACTACACCAGGACTAAACCAGGTCTAAACCAGGTCTAAACCAGGACTACACCAGGACTACACCAGGACTACACCAGGACTAAACCAGGACTAAACCAGGTCTAAACCAGGTCTAAACCAGGTCTAAACCAGGACTAAACCAGGACTCAGGACTAAACCAGGACTAAACCAGGTCTAAACCAGGTCTAAACCAGGACTACACCAGGACTAAACCAGGACTAAACCAGGACTAAACCAGGTCTAAACCAGGACTACACCAGGACTAACTAAACCAGGACTCTAAACCAGGACTAAACCAGGACTAAACCAGGACTAAACCAGGACTAACACCAGGACTAAACCAGGAGGTCTAAACCAGGTCTAAACCAGGTCTAAACCAGGACTACACCAGGACTAAACCAGGTCTAAACCAGGTCTAAACCAGGACTAACCAGGACTAAACCAGGACTAAACCAGGTCTAAACCAGGACTACTAAACCAGGACTAAACCAGGACTACACCAGGACTAAACCAGGACTAAACCAGGTCTAAACCAGGTCTAAACCAGGTCTAAACCAGGACTAAACCAGGACTAAACCAGGACTACACCAGGACTAAACCAGGAGGTCTAAACCAGGACTAACCAGGACACCAGGACTAAACCAGGTCTAAACCAGGTCTAAACCAGGACTACACCAGGACTAACTCAGGACTAAACCAGGTCTAAACCAGGACTAAACCAGGTCTAAACCAGGACCAGGACTAAACCAGGACTAAACCAGGTCTAAACCAGGTCTAACCAACTAAACCAGGACTACACCAGGACTAAACTCAGGACTAAACCAGGTCTAAACCAGGTCTAAACCAGGACTAACCAGGACTAACCAGGACTAAACCAGGACTAAACCAGGCTCTAAACCAGGTCTAAACCAGGACTACACCAGGACTAAACTCAGGACTAAACCAGGACTAAACCAGGTCTAAACCAGGTCTAACCAGGACTACACCAGGACTAAACTAAACCAGGACTAAACCAGGACTAAACCAGGTCTAAACCAGGTCTAACCCAGGACTACACCAGGACTAACTCAGGACTAAACCAGGTCTAAACCAGGACTACACCAGGACTAAACCAGGACTAAACCAGGTCTAAACCAGGACTACACCAGTACTAACTCAGGACTAAACCAGGTCTAAACCAGGACTAAACCAGGTCTAAACCAGGACTAAACCAGGACTACACCAGAACTAAATCAGGACTAAACCAGGACTAAACCAGGTCTAAACCAGGTCTAACCCAGGACTACACCAGGACTAAACCAGGACTAAACCAGGTCTAAAACAGGTCTAAACCAGGACTAAACCAGGACTAAACCAGGTCTAAACCAGGTCTAAACCAGGACTACACCAGGACTAAACTCAGGCAGGACTAAACCAGGTCTAAACCAGGTCTAAAACCAGGACTACACCAGGACTAAACCAGGACTAAACCAGGACTAAACCAGGTCTAAACCAGGTCTAAACCAGGACTACACCAGGACTAAACCAGGACTAACACCAGGACTAAACCAGGTCTAAAACCAGGTCTACTAACCAGGACTCCAGGTCTAAACCAGGACTAACTAAACCAGGACTAAACCAGGTCTAAACCAGGACTAAACCAGGTCTAAACCAGGACTAAACCAGGACTAAACCAGGTCTAAACCAGGACTAAACCAGGACTAAAACCAGGACTAAACCAGGTCTAAACCAGGTCTAACCCAGGACTACACCAGGACTAACTCAGGACTAAACCAGGTCTAAACCAGGACTACACCAGGACTAAACCAGGACTAAACCAGGTCTAAACCAGGTCTAAACCAGGACTATACCAGGACTAAACCAGGACTAACCCAGGACTACACCAGGACTAAACCAGGTCTAAACCAGGACTACACCAGGACTAAACCAGGACTAAACCAGGTCTAAACCAGGTCTAAACCAGGACTACACCAGGACTAACTCAGGACTACACCAGGACTCAACCAGGTCTAAACCAGGTCTAACCCAGGACTACACCAGGACTAACTCAGGACTAAACCAGGTCTAAACCAGGACTACACCAGGACTAACCAGGACTAAACCAGGTCTAAACCAGGACTACACCAGGACTAAACCAGGACTAAACCAGGTCTAAACCAGGACTACACCAGGACTAACTCAGGACTAAACCAGGTCTAAACCAGGACTAAACCAGGTCTAAACCAGGACTAAACCAGGTCTAAACCAGGTCTAAACCAGGTCTACACCAGGACTAAACCAGGACTAAACCAGGTCTAAACCAGGTCTAAACCAGGACTACACCAGGACTAAACCAGGACTACACCAGGACTAAACCAGGTCTAAACCAGGTCTAAACCAGGACTACACCAGGACTAAACCAGGACTAAACCAGGTCTAAACCAGGTTTAAACCAGGACTACACCAGGACTAAATCAGGACTAAACCAGGACTAAACCAGGACTAAACCAGGACTAAACCAGGTCTAAACCAGGACTACACCAGGACTAAATCAGGACTAAACCAGGACTAAACCAGGACTAATCTTGGACTTGAGAGAGAATGAGAGAGAGAGTGAGTGAGAGTGTCCGCAAAGCGCGATCGGGCGACAGCTGCACTGAGCCCCGCGCAGCATGGCGGAGCCCCGTGCAGCACCTTCGGGCCAGTCCCGACAAACAGTCCTGGTTTAGTTCTGCTTTAGTCCTGGTTTATAACCCCAGTGCTCCTCACTTCTTCTCCGTGCAGCACACACCCCCCTCTCTTCACGTCTACGTGCACGAAATCTCCATGGCTTTTTATACTGTGTTTCTGTGTAATAAGATGCTTTTATAACCATAAAATAGTTCTTGAGGAGTGGATAGTTTCAGACGGATGCACACTCCAACACTAATCAGACATCTCAGCCCAGAAAAGTACAGTCCTATGAATATCTAAGCTCCTAGGCCTCTAGAAGAGGCCTGGGAGCTTGAGAGTTCTGCACAGTATCTTAGATGTTCCCAGGGCTGCACTTTTCTGGACTGAGATGTCTGATGTTGTTCCTGGTATCTGCTTTAGTCACTCTTCCAGTTTGGGGGTCATCAAGAAGAGTCATCTTATGTTATCTGCCCCCCTCTTCAACATCAACACCTCATCAACACCGATAGTTACTTCAAACCATGTCAAACCAGTGGAGTACATCACAATTATGAATCAGTTGCAAACAGAGATCATCACTTTTTTTATGCACAACAACTTAGTTTTCTTTTTCATATATACACACTGCACTGGGTTTGATGTGTTTTTAATGCCATCATTGTATTTGAGCATTTGATTTCTTTATCAAGGCTCTTCCATAAATGAACTCCTTTCACAGCAATGCTATGCCCCATGACCTTGGTTCTGAATTTGGGCTTTTTAAACATGTAGGTATTATAATAACAAAGACTAAACAAATATATAAACAGCAATAATACATAAATAAGTAGCAAAAATAGCAAGAGACTGGTGTCAAATAAGGCATCATTGCATGAATATATATGTACATGTATATGTATATGTATATGTATATGTCTAGACTTCCATTGCTGCAGCAGTTCTGGTCAAGTCTCTGCAGACGGACATTGTCCTTCACTTCCATGTTTTCTCTAATGACTCAGTGTCCAGTGTTGGTGGTGGGGGGAAAAAAACAGTAACACGCCCCAGTGATTCTGAGTGTCCAAAACTCTTGTATACCATAAATATGCAGACAGTATATATGTACTGTATACTGAACCATACACTTTTATATGGGCTAGAGGAGGTAGTATTGCTTTTATTGGTAACTGTTGTATTGAAGTTGAAATTTTACCATTGGTTTCAGTCCTCTCTCTGATCTGATCTGTTTCTCTCTAAACCCCAGGACCTGTATCAATCCTGAGTCAGTGCTAGTGCAGCCTCTGCAGCTCAGCGACGGAATTCTGGAGGTTCTGAGCTTTTACATGAGGCATGTCCATAAACTGAGATGCAGGTTAAGGCGCCCCTTTTAAAGAGTATGAGTGAAGACTACATATACCACCCTTCTGAATGGATGGAACACATATAATACTAAGATTTTTAATAGTCCTAGAAGGAAAACTGTTCATTGCATTTGACCCATACTTAACCCAAAACCACTTCAATTACAGGTTTCAGGTTTTACAGGCATTTCTTTCTTTCTTTTTTTTTTTTTTTTAGTATTCTTCAATCTAAGAAACATGTTTTGTTTTACTGACAGTCTCTGTTTGTGCTGTGCTCCTCAGGTCTGGTGGAGATCTGTCTCATGCATCCTCTGGACGTGGTTAAAACACGGTAAGAGCCTCCCCTTTAACTTCTATTGTAACTAAACAGAAGCTGCTCTCACATCTGCTGTGGCCTCCCTGAGTTCCTCACATTCCGCTCTGTGTCGCCGAAGCTGAGTGCCCAAATCCTATTAACTCTGTACGACTGGAGCCAGGAGCCATCGCACGGAAAATCAAATGCATCGTTTACATTCACACTCACACATTTTAACCCGAGAAATCAACACTTTATTAAAATACCACCTCTTCCCTCCACCCTGCCTCAATCCAGAATGCCCAATCAACAAAAAAACTGCAGAAATTATGAGCAGCTCAATGAAAGATGGTTTGAGATTTTAAAAGTCCTATATCACATAAAACTGACTCCTGTGAGCTTTAAGTCATGTTCTAATGCTGTTCCCTCCTCAAAAACACACCTGGAGTTGTGTTTCAGTGGAGCTGTTAAGGACCAAAAAGGTGCCCAATTGTTCACTTTTATGGTACAAGCATGAAACTTTGACAGATTATTAACATCCCTAGGACCGACATTTCTGGATATGGAACCAAGCCCAAGTTGACCCTGGAGCCGAGTACTGCGCATGTCACAAAATGGCCGACATGGAAAGGGGCTGGGAGCTAAATTACTGCTTAAAGCTCCTTTTTTGGAAAATAATGTTAAATGATCATATAGGTTATAAAGAAGAAAATGTATCAAGATACTAGATACGTTCAATGCTGTTTTTTAAAGTGAAAGTAAACATTAAATAACAACAACAAAAAAGCTACTAAACTAATGGTGTTTTTTTTTAAAGGTGCATCATGTAACTTTTCTGGTCTCCATGGAGATGTTATTGCTTTGTCTGGAATGTTTCACAGTATGGCATTAAACCTTTCTATCTTCATGGAGACTAAACAAGGCCAAGTAACAGTTCAGATCTGTGGAGAGGCGACCCCGCTCACAGTCAGAATGCTTGTTTTTCTAGGTATTTTTTGAGCTATAAAACCACCTGTAATTGAATAAATGTAAAGTAGAGCTGTTTAAAGTCACACTGTGGAACAATCCAGGCAGAGCAATGACATCTCCATAGACACACAAGCAGGTAACAGACCCTGAATCAAAAAGTTACACAGTGCATCTTTAATAGTGTCATTTACTGTTTCTAGTGCTTGTCTGGTAATTTTAGAGCAAACTAGGTAAATAATTAGCAAAAGAATCTGGACAACAATGTGTCGAAATGAGTGTGTGTGAACTCTAGTGGCCTCTGTGATATTCAGTACTATGTGACATCATGTAGGACTGCCCTGATTACAGCCAGTTGTTTGTGTTTACAAATCCGTGAAAGAAATGCTGTTTGCACAACAAATGTATGGCTCTTTCATTTACATTTCCAATAAAAGTGCGCTATACTCTACTTTTTAATTCATTCATTGGTTTTGCGTATAACATGCAATTAATCACGATTAATCGCTCGAACTCATGCGATTAATCGCAATAAAAAAAAATTATTTTTGCCCAGCCCTAATATATATATATATATATATATATATATATATATATATATATATATATATATATATATATATATATAACCACCTCTCCATAGATCTGACCTGTAAACATGGTCTGGTTGCCCCACTGTTTTGTCTCTATGGAGATAGACAAGTTTAATGTCATACTGAGAAACAATATAACACTGCCATTTTCACTCCCAGCTGAAAAGTTACATAGTACATCTTTAATACTTAAAACAAATTTACGCCCAAGAATCTCTCCCAACCATCACAGTATCATAATAACAATAATGACAAGAGCAGAGGAGGACGGCTCATTCCAGTAATCCCACACCAGACTGAGAACACCTTTGAAACTGTGGAGATGGTGATTTGGGATTATGACCAAAATGAAGGCGAGATTCGACCAGGTTTTGTGACAGATTTTGTCATTTTTTCTTTGCAATCTCTCAATCTGGAATGAGAAAATTGAATGATGATATAGATTGTAATAAAGATTTAAACCCATTATTAAGACCACAAATTTACTATGTTTTAGTGACAAATGTTAAAATTAAAGTTTTTTCAGTTTTCGATTTTGTGTTTAAATGAAGAATGGAAAAAACGCATAACGGCCGTTTCCCGTTTACGTGACTTCCGTGACTGCGATGCCGGACTTTTGCACCGCATACGGACTGAACCGGGACTGATCCAGGTCCGAGACCAGAGCGGGACTGAGACCGGGACCAGACCGGGACCAGAGCGGACTCCGAGCTTTGACTCCGAGCCTCGGGGTCCGAGCCTCAGCTTCGAGCTCCGGCCCTGCCGTGGGCTCTGAGCCTCCGGTCTGGTCCTGGTCTTGTCTCAGTCTCGGTCTCAGGCCCGCTCTGGTCCCGGTCTGGTCCCAGTCTCAGTAGTGCTCTGGTCCCGGTCTGGTCCCGGACCTGGTCCATTTGAACCAAAAGCTCTTAGTTCGATTCATTTTCATTGGTCTGAATGCGTCAGTCGGATGCTTTGCACCACCTCGGAACCGGTTCTTGAGCGCGGAGGACCAGAGCAGCTCTGTCCCGGTCTCAGTCCTGCTCTGGTCTCGGTCTGGTCTCGGACCTGGATCCGTCCTGATTCAGTCCGTATGCGGTGAGACTGGGAAAATAATGAAGAAAACTGTTGTTTTTTCATTTTCTTATTTTTGGTTTTATATTGAAAAACGAATGAACGAATGATGCACGGATTATGGAAGCGTGATGACAGTTACAGTTACAGTTGTGCACCAAGCTCCACCAGGCAAAGAAAGTGCTATGAACTTATCAAGTGTGGATGCAGAAGCCTGTGCTGGGGGATGTAAGTGTGCAAAGACAAATTTGGCATGTACAGATTCATGCCAATGTGGCAGCAGCTGCACTTAAAGCACTTTGAATAAGTTTAACTATTTAAGGAAAATCTCTGATATGTTTTTTAGGGTTATGCCTCACATCCATGCAGCATTTAACTGCTATTGTGAAACATGATGAGGCACTTACAGGTCATTAGAGATGTTTAAATTGTTTTTGTTATCAAAAACCCAATAAATATGGCTTTGAAAGATAAAATATTGTATTAACTTGGATTTCAACCACAGGGAGCCCACACAACCCTTACATTCTCAAGGAAAATGGTCACATGACCTCCTTAATGCTTTGGAGTTTATGAAAAATAGTTGTTCAACATTACAAAATGGATAACTCAGCAGATTAGAGTGTAAGAAAGGGATTATGCAGTGTTTTTTTTATGCCAGCCTCATTTTCATACAGTCCATTTGGTGACATGCACAGTTCTCAGCTCCAGGGTCGACTTAGGCTTGGTTACATATCTAAAAATATTAGTCCTGGGGGTGTTAGTAATATGGCAAAATTTCATGCTTGTACCATAAAAGCAAACTATTTTGGTCCTTAACAGCTCCACTATTTTTTTTGAGTAAGCCAATTATTATTATTAGTCTGTCTACATCTCCAAAGCTCAAGATGCTCTGTTCCATCTTGTGATGTCATGAAGTGGTAGCTTTCAAGTAAACAGCTTGTTTCACCTTTAGTTCAATAGAGATTGGCAATTCCAGGGCTGTAATCATCCAGATGATTCTAGTGAAGGTGTGTGGAGTTTAAAAGCATAGTGGAGCACTTCTTGTATTCCCACATGACATCACAAGGTGTTAAGCAGAAGAACTCAGCCTAAATCTGCAGGGTTTGTGTGTTAAATTAACCCTGTGCAGCAAGATGGATTCTCACAATATTTGTGAGTTCACAAACTCATGAGAATCTATCTTGAGGTGCTCCCACAGTTCAGTTTGAATTGGACCCCGCTGTGGTCGACTGAATCACAGGACTTCTATGGCAGGGGGAAGAGTTTCAGACAACATGAAGATAACCCCTCCTGCCAGGCCTACACGAAGCAAAACAAACATGGTGGTGGCGGACAGGGATGGTGGTTGTTCCCTCACATGTTCCCTCTCCACTATGACACCTGTTTTGGTTTTACCTGGATATGTCATTTTGACAGGTTTGCTGTGATTGGCTAAAAAGAAACTAGTGGGTGGGCACTTCGAGGTAGATGTGAGAGCTGTTCCAGATGAAGAATGTGTAGAACTCAATTCAGAGACATACACAGATCACTCTGAGCCAGGTTAGTGTTAAACATGTGTGAATGAAAAAAAACACAACTCCAGGTCTGTTTGTGATGAGGAGACGACATTAGAACAGAGGAAATAGTGAATTAATGGCATTGGAGCGAATTTGATTTGGTGGTAAAAACACATCCGTAATTAATGCAGTGTCATAAAAGAATATATTTAAATTTATTAGGATATAGTAAAATGTTTAATGAGGAAATTAAATAGAAATGTAACCATAGACCTATTTACCATAGGAAATTAGCCATAATACCATAGGAAATTAACCATAGACCATTAGGAAAACACATGTTGTAATGTAGGGGTGTAGGGTTTGATTCCCCTAACAGTATAGTGATATGTGTTTGTGGGCAAGATATAAGGTCATAAAATGAGAAAGAGCACCACATCTCACAAATATGTGGAGTTTGGCAAAAACGGTAAATGAGTGATTCAAATCGCACAAAGAGAGTGGAAAATTCACTTTTGGAAAGGCCTCATGGGTATTTTTTTTTTTTTTTTCAAATGTCTTAAGTTTAAAAACACTACAACTAAAAATAAGTTTATTAAGTCAATGACTAATCCTTAATTCCTTCCTTGGATTTTTTACAAATACCTGGAAAACTTCACATGAGCTGCACTATCCAGTGATAAACCAGATCTAAACATGTCTACATCTGAGCTAAACAAGAGCTAAACTGGGTCTAAACCTGGTCTGAACCAGAGCTAAGCCGGGTCTAAACCAGAGCTAGACTGGGTCTACACCTGGTCTACACCAGAGCTAAACCAGAGGTAAACCGGGTCTAAACCAAGTCTGAACAAGATCTAAAGAAATTCTAAACCTTGTTTAACCAGGCCTAAACCGGGTCTAAACCTTAAACAGATATTGGCCACTTCAT